TCGTTCTCCATGTGTTTCTCCAGCGCCTGCCGCCGTGCACAGACAGACAGACAGACAGAGCCAAGGGGACTCCTTCCTTTCACAATGAAACCAGCTTGGGTCACGTGCTACTCTGTGTCTAACCATCCCGGAGATCCGGGCTCTCTCTCATTGGCTACAGATGATGTCACCCCTTAGCCCCTCCTCCCCCGGCTCCCCCTCCCACCAAAGCAAAGCTTCAGCACCAGATAGTGGTGGGGGTGGGGGGGAGTAAATAAGCAACTTGGGGGGTGGAACCTGCCTGGGCACTGGGGGGACGCAGGGGCTGGCTTCCAAGGACCCCCCTACCCTCAGCCCACATGGGCTGGAGCCCCAGTGCAGGGATCTGATGCAGGTAAGAGGGTGCCTGGGTACCCTGTGCCCTGGGGAGATGGGGGGCTCTGATTGGCACTCAGTGCGCGGTGGGCTTGGCACGGGGCTGCCTCTGCCCGGGGGATTTGTTTGGGGAAGGGAAGATTCCGGGCCAAGGGGAGCAGCATCTGGCTGGCTCCAGGTGCCGGGGTGCAAACCCGCGGGGGGAGGGCGCAGCGCTTTGTGGACGAGGGTGCAAAGATTTGGAGGTGGGGCGAACGGGGGTGCGGGGGGAGGGAGAGGAGACAGCCCTGAAAGCGGTGACCCCCGGCGCAGGGGGTCCTAGCCGGCAGCAGCTGGACGGTGCGTTGTAACACATTTGGGGGCCGGGGGCGCACACCTAGAGCGGGGGCGCAGGGCGCTGATGGGGGCAGCTGGGGCAGAGGGCCGGTCGGCGGCAGGGGAGGGTGAAGCTGTCCACGGTGGCGGCTGGCAGCCGGGATGGCGGGGGATCCTGCTGTCTGAACGGGGCTCCGGGGAAGGAGGGAGCGGGGAGCGGGGACAGGCCAGCACGGCTTGTGGGGACTGGCAGCGCAGCTTGCTACGGCAGAGCTTTGGGGTGCGTGGGAGGGGAAGGCTGGAGCCGCGATCATGGGTGACAGACGGGCTCCTGCTCCAGGCAGGGATGCCAGACTAAGGGTGGGGGGTGGGACCATAGTGCCAGGATAGGAGGGGATGGGCGGTGATGCCAGGCTGGGGTGTATGGGAGCATGGTGCCAGGATAGGAGGGGATGGGCAGTGATGCCAGGCTGGGGGGTTGATGGTAAGTTGGGGAGATGTGGCGCGATGCCAGGCTGGAGCGGACTGAGGACAATGCAAGAGGCAGGGGAATGGGCACTTGGGCGGATGGGTGTGGGGTGAAGCCAGGCTGGGGAGGCCATGGCTGACTGGGGAGATAGGGAGCAATGCCACAGTGGGGGGAACAGGTGGCAGTGCCAGACTAGGGGTGCAGGACAAGCGTGATGTCAGGCTGTGGAGGGGGCTGAGTGGGATCCTACCAGCTGCAAGTGGTAACTGGGTTCATGGCTTAGCACCCAGGCAGGAGGGGGTATTGTCAGCCTGGCCAGCTGTGACCTTACAGGGAGCTTGTGCCCACGCTGCGCTCAGCGCTGCACTGACACAAGGGGTTATTTTTGGGTGGTGATACCATATTGAGGGGCTCAGGAGGGGAGTTATTGGTGGCACTTCTGGGGCTGGCCAATGGGCTCCTGAGCTTTACACTCCCATCTCACACACCAGTGTGGAAATAGCTGCTAGAGGACCATGCATGATTGAACTCACCTGTGCTGTGACACACACCCATGTCCATGCCTGCATAAATAGACACCCACAATCAGCTATGAAGCTTGCACAAATGCATACATAGACCCACATACAATATGCAAAGCTTGCACACGCTCCCTCACCATCACAACCTAGCCTTATCACAGCTCCCATTTCCCAGTGTGCCAAAGCTTGCAAAGTGTCCACATCCACCAGAATATATATTTGCCACAACATGCACAAGTGCATAAACAGAGATTTGCACAGGATAGCATACCAAAGCTCACAGAGATGCACACTCAACTCACATTAGTGCACGCTCACACCCTACCATGCACAGAACTGCACACGATGTACAAAAGCTTGTACAAATACATATCCCATAGTGCACATGTGCACACACACGATAAAGTACCCTGACACACACAGACACACAACCACCTCAGGCTCTTGTTCATTACCCCAATCTCTACCTTAGGGACAGGCAGCTGCTCACCAAAGAGCCACTTGCTGCCATCACTTGGAGTATTTCCCATCTTGGAATGGGGCAAAATGTGGGAGAAGGTAAACTAGCGCTATGGAATGGGGGCTGTAGCCTGACTTGGCGAGGGGCGGTGCAGGAAGAGGGAGGGCAGGACTGGGGGTATGGGAGCAGGAGGAGTGGCATGGGGACAGGAGTTGGAGGGGAGTCTAGGGACAGGAGAACCTTGTAGCAGTAAGGTGGGGAGAGGCATTGGGGCAGGAGCAGCTGCACCACCCTTCCAGCTAGAAAACCCTAACCCTAACCCTAACCCTAACCCTAACCCTAAGCCTGGACCCTAGCTAATCAGAATTTTCACTGGTGGGAGAACGGCCCTTTCCCCAGTCCGAATCTGCAGGGAACTTTTACTGCAGTGGGTACCACATCCTGAGGTGGGGTGGCCAAGGATCCCGCCCCCTATCCCCAAGAGCTGGGGTTGCTTTGATTCATGAGGCTAGAAGTGCCCCCTGCTGACAGAGACGGGGACAGCTGCCTGAACAGTCCCCTGCCCTCCTGCCTCACTCTGCCCAGCACAGCACTTTTGGGGCCAGCTGGTGAGCTCACCCTGGGTGGTAACCTGAGGAAGCACAAGCCCCTCTCGGGCGCTGCCAGCCCCTGAGCTCAGCTGGGTATTTTTAGCAGAGCCGTGCTTTTTCTTGTCGGAGGGACTGAACATGCTGCCCCAGGGACCTGGTTTGCCAGCTAAAGAGCAGAGCATGTGGGCATGAGTGTGCATGGGTGAGCCTGCATTAGGCTGAGCGTGCACCACTCAGTGTGCTCTGATGTAAGCGTGCCTGTACGTACATGGAGGTGCGTGTGCATCAGCAGGAGTGTGCACTGATGAAGCGTGCTCTGGTATTAGTATGCACCGATGTGAGCACGCGTGTTTCCATGAGTACAAATGCGCGTGTGCATGGAGGCAAGAGCCAGAGGAGCGTGTGTGTGTAACTTTGCAAAAGTGTGTGCATTCAAATGAGCATGAGTATTAGGAGCATGCACCTGTGTGTGTGTGTGTGTGTGTGTGTGTGTGTGTGTGTGTGTGTGTGTGTGCGCGCGCGCACCAGAGAGCACGTGCAAGCATGGACCTGTGCACACCTGTGGCTGAGTGTGGAGTTTGTGAGCCTGTAGGGCTATGCACAGCTGTGAGTGTGCATGGCTGTCCCCTTGGGCTGGTGCATGTGGGGGTACTTAAGAGTGGCTCAAGCCCAGGCCCTGCAGCCCTCAACAGCCCCTGGTGGGTTAGGGGGGGATCCTAGGCTGAAGGGGCACAGGCACTCCACTGGAATGGGGGGAAACCCCTGTTCCCACAGGTCTGTCCCTCCCATTCTCTCTGCTGCCAGGGGTGCGGATGGCAATAGCTGGCCCTGTCACCCCACTTGAGAGTAGCGCTGCTGTCCTGGGGGGAGAGTACTCTGGGGCTGGCCAGGTGGGGAGCTGGAGAGCAGAGTCCTGGGGATACTGACACAAGAAGTGTGGGGACAGCAGAGACCATGGGGAGGGGCTGGAGAGGGGTGGCAATGGAGGGGGATGGACCATCCCTGGGACACGGGGAGAAAGGGGAGGTTAAGGAATCGCTAAGGGGGCCAGGGAAGGGCTGTGTGGGGCTGGTGGGCGGGCGTGTGTGAAGGGGAGGCATGTGGGGGTCGGGGCACAGAGTGTAATTTCCCACAAGATCCCTTCATGGCCCCAATGGGATATGCTCCCCACCAAGAGCCCTGTGCCCCGGCTGTGTGGGCAAGGTGGGGCTGCAGGTTGCTTGAGCCCACAAGGCACATGGCAGGGGGAGTTTAATCTTGGCTGGTGCAGAGAAGGGAGATGAATTGGCCTCTTGGAGTCTGACAGCCTCAGGGAGCAGGGGCTGTTTGGAACTGATAAGGCACCAAAATGGAGGGGGGGGGGAGAAAATCTGCAATTAGGAGCTTGGATCCGGAGGGCTTGCCTAGAGCAACCCTAACGCAGCTGCTCTGTCTCCCCTTCCCCCGCCCAGTACCTCTGGTTTATACGGGGATCCCAGCACTGGGGTGCAGATGCCTTTGGCAGGGACTATTGAACAGCAAAGCCAGTAGGGCGCCAGTCACCTGAAATGTCAAAGCCAGTATGTGAAGGGTTAAAAAGCTATTGGGAGGGTGCAAAACGAGTTTGCTGCATCTCAGTCCAGGGGTGATGCACAGGGTGCAGTTTGGGGAGGCCTGCAGAGCGGGGGGGAGGATTGCTGGTGTGGGGATCAGCCCTTTGTGCCCCCTTAGGATCTCACAGCCCCCTGTCCCCCTCTCTCCCCTCTCCTCAGGTCACCCTTCCCAATGCCTCCGTCACCCCTGGAAGACCGTCTCTCCATCCTCCAGCGCCCCAAGACCTTGGCTTTGCGCCTGAACCACAGCTTCCCTGCCGACAAGCCACTTCTGTCGCCGCGGGCACAGAGACCCCCGAGCCACCCACCCCCTAAGGACCGCACGGGGGCTGCCCCACCCTTCCAGGAGCCCCCGGCCTGCCTCCTGCCTCCACATTCCCACACCATTGATATTAAGCTGACGGTGGGGGCCGGGCAGAGCCGGACACGCGAGCGCAACCTCTCTCTGCAGCTCGACCTCCAGCAGGGCGGCAACAGATCCTGTGGGGGGCCGGAGCTCAAGGTGCTGCTGCCTCAAGCCAAGCTCAAGAAACGCTGCTTTAAAGAAAACTCACGACCGGCCGGGCGGGACACCCCATCACCCACTTCCTCCCGCCTCTCCAGCCCCGGCGCCGGCACCATGCACCCCTTGCAGGGCAGCTGGCC